TCAGAAGTCAATAAAATCAGACAAAGGTTCAAATTGATTAAAATTGCATAAAACTGGTTGAAACGGTATGTTGTAATAAAATACAATGCGAATAAAACTGGGTAAAAGCAATTACATACAATATAAAATACCAATAGCGAAGAGAAATGCAAAGACGTTAGGATGATGAGCTTTATTTAACAAATCTCTTATGCATAAAATAGAGCTGCAAAAAAAGGTAAGACGATGACGGTTAAAACATGGGCAAGAAATTAAAATGCGATAGATGGTGAGTAAAACGTTGCATGTATTGTAATGAGGAGGGGGTTCACCAAACAGCAAGTGAAGATGGGTCAATCAAGTGTGCAGAAGACTTGGCAGGCATGCAAAAAAAAAAATTTCTCTAAAATTTTTTAAAAAAATATTGAAAATTTTAAATTGGTCTTTTGAGTTATCAGTTTTTGACGTGTTCAATATTCACAGATTCTACAGAAAATCTTTTTAATTTCTCAATCACTTTTTGTGTGGTTATTGTATCTACGGAATTCAGCTCAGTTTAAAGATACCCAATATTTTTAAAACGATAGTATGACACACGAATTTTAAATTTCAGTAATCATTTCTAAACTAGCTTTTTTTTAAAATAAAAAAAAATTCATCGTAAATTCAAGTGACGTTTCTATCGTTCTTTCGGCGGTTACAGCTACCTACGTCGTTACAATTTTTAAGATCCCGTAAGGTTTAATACGATATATTGACTAGTGAGTTATTGGTCGCATATTTGATAAATCATTTTTTGACGCGATTTACTTCTGTCGATTTCATCGAATATCTCTGGATTATTCGGTAATTATAACAGCGTATTTTCGCAAAGTTTTAAAAATCTTGAAATTTTTAATGTGATAATATTATTAATCCTGAAGTTGAATCATACATTTAAATAATCTTTTTTCACGACACTTTCTTTGTAAGCTTTATCGTTAAAATGAAGGATTTTTTCAAATAGTTATTTCTACGCTTTTTCACGTGATTTTATATAATAGCTTTTTCACGAGTTTTTTCTGGTGTTATCGTAAATCTAAATGACTTTTAAGCAGTTATTACTACTTTTCAACGAGATTTCAAAAATGTCAACGAGATTTCAAATGTTTTTATTATTTGTCAAGTTTAAAATTGTCCACCATAGCATATATATCCATGCTACCAGGTATATATATTAATATACATTAAAAAATTCACAACAGACCAATTAGTTATCTGAAATGTTCCGTTAAAAAGTACAAGTTGAATCACACATTTAAATAATCTTTTATCACGACACTTTCTTTGTAAGCTTTATCGTTAATATGAATGATTTTTTCAAATAGTTATTTCTACGCTTTTCCACGTGATTTTAAATAATAGCTTTTTCACGAGTTTTTTCTGGTGTTGTCGTTAAATCTAACTGACTTTTAAGCAGTTATTACCACTTTTCAACGAGATTTCAAAAATGTCATTTTTTATTATTTGTCAAGTTTTAAATTGTCCACCATAGCATATATACCCATGCTACCAGGTATATATATTAATTAATATACATTAAAAACTTCACAATAGACCAATTGGTTATCTGAAATTTTCCGTTAAAAAATACAATAAAAACTTAAAAAATAAAAGTTAAACCCTTATATCGTTTCATAGTGAGCGTCTTTTTATGTTGGCCGCTTCATCAGAGCTCCGATGCATCAAGATGATGGCTGCTATACCGGTGCACCGACTTTCCATACGCTTTAAATTGAGCTTAGAGAGCCGCGATGGCTCAAGGGATAGAGCGTTCGCCTTCCAATGAGGCGTACCGGGTTTGGATCCCAGTCGATACGAACTCCACATCAGGCTTGCACCGACCACAGTGCTGACGTGAAATATCCTCAGTGGTAGACGGATCAGGAGTTAGAATTCCCTTGCCGGCAGGCTAACCGTGGGAGGTTCTCGTGGTCTTCCTGTTCCTGAAACGCAAATGCGGGTTAGCTCCATCAAAAGTCCTCAACGAAGGCAAATTTCTCCCAATACTCGATCCAGAAGTTCCCTTGTCTTCTGGATTGGGTTCAAAATTACAAGGCTACGGAGCTGAAAATTAGTTGTCGTAAACCCATAAAATTGAGTCGGCTGTTTAACGACGGTCATAAAATAAAAAATAAAATTGAGCTTAGAAACTATGTATACTCCAGACGTTCTACAAAAACACAATTTTTATCTGGAAAACAAACAAGAGAGCTATTTTCCTACAAAACAGTAGGGTTCCAAAATAAACATCAGGCTGTATGCAGAATTATTAATTGTTATTGACTTTTTCAACATCGCTTGCAGTGGAAATAATAATTCAATAAAGGCACAAATGTCGGAATAACCGGAGAACGTGTCACATGCAGTATAAAATTTAAGGAACTGATACTGTAGCTTTATTTTTCTTGGAGCAAGAGTTTCAAAAAATAGTGTTAAACTAAATAAAGAGAAGGATAAATACCTCATATCTTGACGTGAAGTAACAACTTTATCTTTTTCCCAATGACGGGAGCATCTGAAAATAACAAATCAACAATATCAAATATTAATACTTACATACACAGGATATCTGCAACACTTTAGACTTTCAAATTCATGATTTTCCATGACTATGCAAGAGGAGTCCGAAGAGTTTTTCATAACTTAATGTTACTATTTTCTCCGACAAAAACACAACAATAAATTTAAAAAAGCATTATAATAACTTTAATTAAAATGGTAGGTATAAGCAAAACTGTTGTACTTTGCATCTACATATATATAGATTTTAAATTTAAAAAACAGAGTAAAGAAAGAGTTGAAGCAATAAAATAGTTGAAAAAATACATAAGGATTTTTTTTTCTTTTTCTCTGCATAATTATATTCTAAGGATACTTTTCTTGTTCATCGGAAAGAAAAGAAAGACTTAATTTCTGTTCTTTCTGTTCGCGCTTCGGAATTAAAAAAATTCGGCAATCACTGGCTTGCTTCAGTTAGAATTTTGAATTGATAACATAAAAAAATTAAAGAATGACAAAAATTCTGAAATCACAGAAGTTTGAAAGATAATTCGCTCTAGAAATATTTTTTCTTTCATTTTCTTTTTGAAAGAACACCAAAATTTTGAAAGAACATGATGAAAACATCTTATATTTTAATAAAAAATGACTGTTAGTGGGGATTTTGTAACAAATTCAGATATTCACAACACCATGAAATTGGAGGGGATGGAGGTAAATTCTATTTCAAAAGTTAGATTTTTCGGCGACCAAAAACCATGACTTTCCATGATTTTTCTCCAAAAATAGATAAAATCATGACATTTCATGACAAATTTTGTTCAATAACGAACCTCATGAGTTTCCATGATTTCTCATGATTTTCCAGGTGCACAGATACCCTGCATACACTTACACATAATACTACATAAACTTAAATTCTAGTCAAAAGAAACTTACCAGCTTTCTTATCTTCTATCAATGGTTGAGTAGCCACGGGCACAATTTTGATATCGACAGGCAATTCTGAAGGTTCTATCGTGCACTAATGCAAAGTTTCTTCCTAACCAACAATAGAAACTGACAAGCCTGAAAAGAAATACGTTAATGAGCAATGAAAGGGAGCACTTTAGTCATCTTGTTATTGTAATTATTTGGAACATTTAAAGAGCATAGTTGAAAACCTTAGACAGGGTAAAAATTAGCTGCCAGCTCTGCCCTTAGGTTAAAATACACCCCATTATAGTTTCAGTTACTCTTAAACTAACGGACTTTCCAGCTCATTATGGTTTGTAGTGTAAATGGTACTCTGTTCAAGTTATACGAGAGAGGTCGGGGGTTCGTGTCCCAACTGAGGAGATAGAATTTTATCAAATATTATTTTGCAAATGGTAAACTATTTAGTATATTTTATTCAATTTATAAGTTATTTTTGAATTTGAATAATTTTTTTTTAAAACTTTAAATTTGTAAGAACAAAAAAAAATGAATCGATGTTTAATATTTTTAATAAAAATATAAGGATTATTTTTTTTAAAAAGAAAGTTATAATAAATATGTTTTAATAACTAAATTTTCTTTTATTTATAATAAATTTAAGTTCCCATTAAACTTAATTATGGAAATATAAACAAAACTATATTATCAGGCTTGTTTAAAAAAGAAAAAAATAACTATTACTTAACTATAATCCATTGAATTTCAAATAATCAGAATGCATTCGAAATAAATTTCGTATTTTTAATAGAATGATTTTCTAGTTATGTAATAAATAGTTTTTCTTTTTTTTTAACTAGTCTAACATACTTTTGTTTACATTTTCATAATTAGATTTAATAAAAAATTTAAATTATTTATTATAAAGTTGAAAAAAATTCAGTTAGTTTATCAAAAAATTTTAAGTGACAATATTTTTTTAAAAAAAAGTAATCAATTTATTTTGATAAAAAAAATAAAAATTAAATACTTAGCTTCTTTTTTGCTTTTGAAAATTTAAATTTTTTTTAAATAATTTAAATTAAAATATATTTATATAAACAGAATGAAATATACCAAATAGTTCTTAGAACAGAAATCTAGAGATGAAAATCAAATGCCTCATCTGAAATTTGAACTCACAACTTCTCCAGTGGAAAGCGCATAGCCTAACCATTAAACTACAAATCCACACATTGTTAGTTTAAATGAACCTTAATGTGACTTATTCAACCCCCATGGACTGAACCACCAACAGTTAGCTTTTACCCTATAGAATGCCTTCAACCATACTTTTGTATTTAAGAATTATTTCATTTTAATAGAAACTGTACAGATGCGTACTTCATGTATAAGTGAAAAAAAGACAATCAGCATTTACGTGAATTCAGTAACATCAGCTTAAAACAATATAGCATAAATAGGAAACTGTTCACATTAGAAACCATCTTTACACTATAAACTTGCGCTTTTTCGATAATACAACCCTATATATTCAAGTATTCTTTCTCTAAACTATTGCAAATATAAATTTCAAAACTTTACCCGGGTTACCACTCAAATCTAGAAAAACAAAAATTCCTTGTACCTATTGTAGGGTGCGTTAGCCATATCTCCAACAAAAAATAAGCATCTTTAAAGTGCTTTTTTTAAGCACTCAAAAATATTTTTAAGCACTAAACACATTAACAAAATGCAAAATAATTTGCAAAGACTTTACATGATCATGATAAAATAACTAGTTTCTGACAAAGAATTCTTTTCTTGATTATATGCTTTTACATAAAACGCAGCGAAAAGCAGTAAAGAAAAAAACTCTTCGAAAAGGAAAAATTAAGCACTTTTTAAATTGCCTCATGAAAAAGGCAGTTTTAATTGCTTTTAAAAACAAAAATCGTAAATAAGCACCTTTAAGCATTTTTTAAAAACGATATCCACCATTCATTATACACAATATATTAAAAGGAAACACAATTACTGTGCTCTTGTGTGAGCTATATTAGACTAACTATATTAGTTTTAATTGCTGGCAAAAACCAAGAGGAAAAAAAGGAACAGCTGAACATATTTAAATAATGGATAATTAGGAAACTGCACATATTTTCCACTTGGAAACCATCTCTGGCATAGTTGATTGTATGCTAAAAAATTAAGTTTTTTTAAAACATCACTTCATACCTACTTTTACTAAACTATTGTAAATAAAAATTTCAAAGCTTCATTTATAAATTTAATGAACGAAAGAGATGTACCGTTCATGATGAATTGAGAGTAAAGTCCTTTTTGCTTCTGATATAAGATATTTAAATAGTAGGTTGCTCTCACTTAATCATTACAATCCAGGAGGTTCCTCTGCAGAAAAACTAAAATATTTGGGAGAAGTTCTTCACAGTGAGCGCCAAACTTAGCCAAGCACTTCACAGCAGCTGCAAAATAAATGTATATACTTTCAAAACAATGATCAATCACATGAATGTAATACATACCTGCCAATATTGAAGAAATAAAATTACAGAGATTTTACTAGCGACATTTACTAGGGGACGAGTAAAATTTTGATACATCATGCATAATCATGCAAGTCAAAAAGAGAAATTCAAAATATAAACACTTATATTTAGTAAAATAATATGTATATAAATCTTAATCTAAGGAAGATTTTTTTAAACCATTATTTCTAAATTATTTTATAAAAGTTGCTAAACAGCCAACCCAAATTTGGGTTTACGGCTAATAATGTTCAATTCAGTCGCTTTGTCATTTTGAACCCAATCCAGAAGACAAGGGAACTCCTGGATCAATCAAGTACTGGGCGAAATTGGCCTTCATGAAAGACTTTTTGAAGGCACTAACCCGCATTTGCATTACACGGAGAGAAAAACCACGAAAATGTCCCACAGTTAGCTTGACTGCAAGGAGAACTTAAGCTAATAACACTCAACATACTGCAGTACTAGCAAAAGCACTATCTGTTGAGGAATAAGACAATTATTTTTGCCATCAGTGGATATTTTATTGGGTAAAATTTATTTTAAATACATTTCTTCAAAAAATACGGAGAAATTTTGGAATATATGGGTTAACAGGTAATAATAGTAAAATACAGGAGTCTTCGTTAAAATAAAACAGGACACATGGCAGGTATGGTAATAATAAAATTCGAAAATATCGTTTTGCTTCGCAAGAGTTGGGAGGCAGTGAGAACAAAAAAAACGATTATTAAATAAGGTTGTTCAAACTTTTTTCCTTTCAAAAAAGTTTATAAAAGTAATTTTAATGTTTAAGTTGTAAATATTATTATGCTTTAATGTACATGGAATATCTCAACCTGGCTACCATGCTCATAAATGAAACGAATTCTTCAATATTTCTTTTCTTCTTAAAATTATGCGCCATATAAATAAATGTCTTTATTGCTCCATTTTGTTTCGCAATGTTGCCATATCTATACTAAATTTCAATAAACACTCACACACACACAAA